CCTGATGAGTCCTTACAGACCGAGACACCGTGAGCAGCGGGAGGAAGGAGGCATGACACATGGCCGTGGCTGTGTTTGTAATACATCGCTCTGTGTTTCCAACTCTTCTACTCGTCCATGTTGCTACAGTACTGAGATTTTGGCTTTATACTCTAACATTCATTGTTTCTCTTAAGCAGTCTGTTATAATTTTGCTTTTTCCACACTTTTGCAAATGTGGGAGGGGGGAGATCTGTGTAAGGGTATGCTCCAGAGGTTGCAACTGATTTCTTCAAGCTTCCTAAAATAGAGGAGCAGGGGGGAATCTCGAAACAACAAGGAGGCCCCATAACCTGTGAGTAACCAAAAGTGCCCAGGATGGAGCCAGAAAGACATGTACAGCAAATACAGGCTGGTTGGATGGCTGTGAAAGCCTCCGATATAGACTGTTTCAAGACCATGACTAGCCAGTCACTAGTCCTGTCCCCAAAGTAGTGTTTATAGTAGATAGCAAGGCTGCCATCAGAATGTGCCTTTCCCCTCCCACCCGGCCAGAGGAAGGTCAGAGGAGAAATGGAGGGGGTGAGGTGCATGCAAGGACCTTAGACACAGACACATACACACACACACACACTANAGGAAGGTCAGAGGAGAAATGGAGGGGGTGAGGTGCATGCAAGGACCTTAGACACAGACACATACACACACACACACACACACTACTCCTGCAAGTTCATGGTAGCACTCCACTGATTACCTCCCTAGGTGGTAAGCAATTAAGATGATCTCTAGTAATCCCTCAATTGCAGAAGCATCTGTACACGCTTCACAAAACTGCATCTGGTTTTTATCTGTGAGCTGGAATTTTTCTCCTTTTGCAAGGGCCAGAAGTGATCGTGTTTTTTGCATTAGTTGAAGTGGTTAAAAAAAAAAAAACAAAAAAAAAACAATCTCCTGGACTCCAAGGGCCTTGGAATTGCCATGGGCTCGCTAGGGCACAGAGATAGGCACAGACTCTGATGGATCACATCTAACTAAAGAAACAACTGCCCCAGCTTTGTCTCTTCGAGGTCTTTTCTTTTGAGTAGTTGGTTCAGTAACACCTTTGGACTCACCTAACAGCCAGCTGGCAAGTGGTCCAAGAGTACTGTCCTTTCATAGATTTCTAAATCCCAAGTTAGAGTATCAGGGAATTTACACTGGGAGGTGGATGATTAACATTAGGGACCCTTTCCACTTGGCTGTGCCATTACTCCGTAATCCAGCAAAGCAACTCCACATTGTGTGGGTCAGGGATTCCCAAGGTAACTGTGCAACTGGAAGCCTTTATTTCCTTTTACCATTCTGACCACCAAAGACGGATAGTTAAATGAATAAACAAGCATGTGCAGGCAGATAAATGAAAGTGTGAGAGTATTTTCTCCATGGGACTAATGACTTTGAAATTTTTTTTCTCTCCAGTGCAAATACCATCCCTGCTACCCGGGTGTGCGATGCGTGAACTTAGCTCCTGGCTTCAGATGTGANATCCAGGAGATCGGGGTTCAATTCCCAGTCAGGGCACTTGCCCGGGTTGCAGACTCGATCCCCAGTCGGGGGCATGCAGGAGGCAGCCAATCAATGCCTCTCTCATCATTGATGTTTCTATCTCTCTATACCTCTTCTTTCCTCTCTATGAAATCAATAAAGATATATTTTTTAAAAAAAGAAGAAAAAATGAATGCTAAACTTTATCTCTGAACCCCCTAAGTAGCCAAAATTTGAGTGAAAGAACTTGTGTCACTGACCATTTCAGAAACTAGTGTCCACCACCAAATGAGTCAACTTCTAAAAGCCAGGAGTCAGCCATGACAAGGTCATCAGAAACTATACTTATTGGAAATTTCTCAGAGGTCCTAGCTCCTTAGACAATCAGTAGGGACCACAGTGCTCTGTCTTCAGTCATCTACTCATTCACTCATTCAATTAGTCAACAAATAGGCACATTCTAGGCGTTAGGGACACTGTGGTGGGCAGAATAGTCATGGTCCTGCCTCCATAGACCTATAGCCCAACGTCCAACACACCATCTGTTATAGAGCACATGCTGAATGCATCTTAACTAATAGACAGTAGAATTCCCCTGAAAAGCCTTAGCATACTCATTTCTAAAATAAAAATGATGACTTTTTGTTGGCAGATAACATAACCTTTTTCTGCCATATATAGAAATAATAATGAATATGAGTAAAAGTTACAAAATGAAGGGGTGAGGAAATTGACTTTGTGACTAACAATGAATGATTGACATCAACCAGTAAAGTGAAAATCTGATGCCAGCTACCTAATAATCACAGAATATACTGTTTATTCAAATCAGAGACTTTTCTAAAACCTGGAGCCAGGACATCCTAAAAACAATACTCTTTAAAATCAGAATGAATAAGTAAAATATTTATTATAGTCTAAACTCCATAAATGAATTCCAGATAATTCTTAAGAGGCTCCTGCCACAACATAACTTTACCATGAAGGAAAAGACCTTTCTTCTCCTCAGGGCCACCTTCGTGAACTCTCAGGCCAAGGTGAATGCCGGCATTTTCCTCAGCTGCTGGCTAAAGTGCCATGGTCGCCTCAGGAAAAAGGAGAGGGCTGGCAGGCTTTAGGAAAAATGCAAACCCACAAAATTACATAAGACGCCAGGGCCCAAGTGCACAGGGCTACTCCGGTATGAAGGTTGTGCGAATATGCAGACACTGGCTTTGGAACGGCACCCGCGCTGTGTGCTGTGAATGTGATTTTTTTCCAGGACTCCTTGGAAGAGCTGAAGCTGGTGGCGAGAGGCTCGCTGTTCCAGGTGGCCGGCCTGCAAGACTGCTTCCTGCAGCAGAGCGAGCCGGTGGCCGCCAGCACAGGTGCGGGCTCTCGGGCAGTTTCCTACCGTCACCAACACAGACAAAGCCCCGGGCCTCCGAAGGGGCTGGGCCCCCGCCCCAAAAGGTGGGCTGTCCGCAGAGCGGGCCCACGGGAGGCAGCTGCGGACATCAGGCTCTTGCATCAAAATCCAGGGCAGGGAATATTGTCCTTGCCCTTTTTCATTTTTATAACTCACATGAATTTTGAACTAGCCGGGGGCACCGTGATCATTATTTTTGAGATGAATTACACCAAGTTAAATTCCTATACCCTAGGTTTTTTCATGATCGTTCTCTGGGAAATGGTTTGCTTTTGAGTCACTGTAGAAATAGCTGTCAGTGGCTGAATGCTCCTTACCTTCTGTTGTTGCTATAGGCGACTTTAATCGGCAGTTCTTGGGGCAAATGACACAACTAAACCAGCTCCTGGGAGAGGTGAAGGATCTTCTGAGACAGCAGGTAACAATCGGGACATACTGTAGAAAAGCACCAGTGCTATCAGAGAAGCTCTGCGAGCTCCTGGAGCGGCAGGCCCGCAGCACGGCGGGAGGCAGGGAGACAGGGAGGCCCGCGCAGCCCTCCCCACTGGGACTGACACAAAGGCTCTGGAAATGGGGGACAGGCATGTGAAAAACACATCATGGCTCCAAGCAGAATGGGAGCCCTTAAGGGTTACTTTAGAACTACTTTAAATCCATGGCTTGCTGCACATGGATTCTTTCATTCCTGGATTATGTATCAGGTACTCCCTTTCAATCTTTTTTTTTCCCCTCTTCCCATTTCTAAAGGTCAAGGAAACATCATTTTTGCGAAACACCGTAGCCGAATGCCAGGCTTGCGGTGAGTGCTTTTCTAGTAACTGGCTCGTTCTGAGTTGGACGAGCAGATGCAGACTGATGAAGGGCCCTGGGTGAGGCAACACTGGCCGCAGTTTCTGGAGGTTTGGCATGGAGGTGGAGGGAAGGGAACTTCATTGAAAAACCAAATTTTATTTTGTGTCAGTTATGTTCTCCAGGTGATGAATAAGCCTATTGTTTTTCTTCCAGGGCCTCTCAGCTTGCAGTCTCCAACCCCAAACACGCTGG